GAAATCCTGAAACAATATAGTTTCACTGGAAATTATAAGTCACAAGGAATGGATGCATATGCATCACCAACCATACCTTATCGCTATATGGTCTATCTGAGTCCAGCGGTGAATAGGTGATGGAGATCGCCAGCTTATGCAGTGTCTCTCTATATACCTAAAGTTATTCCTGACTAGGAACAGATGATTATCTGAACAGAAATGTAGAGGACGATCACCGTTATCGGTTCTTCGACAGGGAACTCCATACGTGCTACCTACACATGCTACTTGTCAGTCTGACAAAACTTCCCTACTTGGGCATTGAAGTCCCCCTGCTAAAACAACTATCTATATCTGAACGTTTTGTTTTTTTACAGCAAAATAAGACAGTTTCAGGTAGAAATCATTTTTAGTTCATCTGAACTGCATGCAGTCTGTCGATGCGAAAGCTGAGGCTACGAAAAGACAATGACGAGAGTAACGCCGTCCTTTCTTCTTCTAACGGACCCGTGTTCAGACGGGATAACGGTTTTTCTCTGGATAAACTCAATCTCCAGCAATATATTTGTCAAGGATCAGGCTAATAGCTAGCTTTACTGAGTGAGAATTGGTGTACTACACAGGCTGATGTAGGTGGAAAGAGACTCGAACCCATGGTACAAATCATCTCCACAATGACGGTTGTAAGGCAATTGCATCTTATCCTGTAACACCTTTAAAATTTTTGAATGTCAATCCATTTCATGTTAGTAGTGATTTAGCTTTAATGAGTAGGGTTTCTCAAAGTTCTATCACGGAATCGCAGTATGACACGCAAATTGTTATGCTCATCTTACAACCTGAGGGTTCTGAGCTGCTCATCACTTCGTCGAATTTTCGGGGAGTGCTGTTGAAAAATCAGAAGATAGTCAGTCAGTCAGTCTAGTGTAGTTTCCAGTGGCCCTCCGACTGGTATCAACTTATTGTGAAATCTACCGCCAAAATAACCTGTTTTAATAATCCCCAAAAACTCTTTTTACCTGTAAAGTGTAAGATATATAATTGAATTTTAGATTTTCCCGTCGATTGATTGGATCGAAGTGCTCGGTTTCAGGTTGACATGCCTGTCGGCTTCTTGTGCAGATGCTTCGACGATGTCCGGGCCTTTTTAATTAGAATTTATTAATTGGTGAATGGTGACTAGCAGTGGAATCCAGGATGATGCGCATTTCGTCCTTATTTGGGACTCGTCATCTGGATGTACCCGCATTTCCCGGTGGGAACATCATCACTTACTGGGAAATGCAGGTACATTCAGCTGACAAGTCCCAAATAGGACGAAATGCGCTTTATCCTAGATTCCACTGCTAGTTACCAACCACCAATTAAGTGTGTCGGTGGCACAGTGGTTAGGACTCTCGCCGACTATGCACATGGTTCGAGGTTCGATCCCCTGCCGATGCACACCCGATATCTATGGTCGGCCTGAAAAATTTGGGCTACCGATATCCATGCTGAAAATTCCATACTTGTACCAAAAATATATTGTGGAATCAAGCTGTAATAAAAAATAAAATAAAAATAAAATATACTTTCTAATTTCATGACTGCATAATCTACGAATGATATTGTCGAGAAAATCTTTTGTGTTTATATATGTGTAAACATTTTAAGTAAGAATAAAGAATCTCCCTCATGTGTTTATCACATGTTTATAACAATATATCAGCTGATCAGAGATTCTTATTACAACTGATTGAAAAACTGGGTAAACAATGACCCACTATCCATGCTTACTAGATTATAACCACAGAGTGTGTGTTCACCTGACCCGTTAACACATGTACTTGTATGCAAGTGAGTGAGTGAGTGAGTGAGTGAGTGAGTGAGTGAATGAGTGAGTGAGTGAGTGAGTGAGTGAGTGAGTGAGTGAGTGAGTGAGTGAGTGAGTGAGTGAGTGAGTGAGTGAGTGAGTGAGTGAGCGAGTGTCCTCAATAGAAGGCATTTGTGTACTGAATCAATTGTCAGACTGTTGGTACGATGATACATTGAGTTAACTCAATACAAATGAATGCGATACGCACACCAAATAAAATGCATCGTGTGTGTGTGTGTGTGCTTTTTATTCCTTTACGTGGCTTATCTCATGCCTAACCTTCCCTCTTTACCGGTCTTATTACTGTCCAAGCGAGGTAAAGGATGAGTGCGTTCCTTGGCCGGGGATCGAACCTCGAACTACCTGCGAGGTTGGTGAGTATTCTACCGCTTTGCCGCTGACGCACACATCGTGTGTAGTGGTGATGATGATTATTAGCTAATACCTCAATCACTCACATTCGTTATCGATCATATGAATAAAAACAGGCAACAGATGTTGTTAGGAAAGCAGGATTGCATGAATTCATCAAATATCAGTAAAACTCATTCACAGCTGAATACTCTACATACAGGGATATATATATGTATTCTATAAGAAATGCATAACAGAATATGCGACTGCCCCGGGTAAATAATCTCCAATGAGTCAATCGTGCAAAAAGAACGACAGGTGCTCTGCAGCAGAAAGCTTCTATTCCTTAACACCAGCAGACAAGTGGTTCAACACTCTAGGAAAGACTGGTCGCCTATCGCCTCAGCTGTGTGCCCAAGACGAATACGAAGTCTATTGAAAAGATTCTGTGGGATGCAATGAATCATCTCGAATGCTTTCATTTCCTCCACTACATGACCACTATCAAATAAATGTGATAAGATGGCGCTACGGCTTGTTTTTGCCTGAGACTAATGTGAGGGATAAATGTATGTTATCCATAGATGTATCATCACTATACACGAATGTGCCATATATGGAAACGGTAGATTACATTTTTCAAATTACCGGAAGGCAATTGGACTAAGGAATTCCCTTGTCTAGCCTCAAAAAATTACTTCTTAAATGCACAATAAATGTTCACTTTGTTTTCATTAATTCATACTATCGACAAGTATATGAGTTCACCATTAGGCGCTGACTTCTTCCTCACAAAACTTGAAAACGAGAAATTCAAAGACATCATCAAGGAGTTTGATATATAATATTACCGATATGTTGATGATACATTTATCATAGCTGGTGGGAATACAACTATAGACGAATTGTTGATGAAATTCAACAACGTCCACCCTTCGCTAACTTTTACTTGTGAAGAGGAATAGGACAGTAAACTACATTTCCTGGATGTCTTGCTAAGTAGGCGAGAAGATGGGTCACTTGAGAGAAGCGTGTATAGAAAAAGCATATTCACAGGACAATACACACACACACACACACACTTTCTTGGTTACGTTGTTAAAGGTCTTACGAGCGGAGCAAGAAAAATAGGTACGGATGACCTCTTACAAAAGAAATTTGAATATATTCACGATTCCTTGATGGAGATGGGCTATCCGAGTAGTTTCATAAAGAAACATATGCAAACATTAGAGAGAAAACCTGAAACTAACTGGTCAGCCCAAAACAACTGTCACCGCAAAAGCAGTTGAATTAGCAAATACACATCGATGTGGCAAAACTATCTAGCTTACCCATCGTTTGTGTCTGGATCATTCGTCAACTACAAAATGACAAACATGCTTTCGATGCGTAAAACATTCTAAGTATACTTTCAGAAGCCTCCAAAGCCTCAGTATGGTCGGGGGTGGGTGTCTTGCGCTGCGGGTTGGCCACCCCTCCTCACACCTTTTGAAATGCTTCCATATGACCGGGCGTCTTACATAGCCTCTCCTGAAGAAGTCCTACTCACTGCCTTCACGTGGCGGAGGTGTTTTTCACCGAAGCGAGAGGTCAAAAGCGGATGCCCGGCGCTCTTCACCGGGTTGACTGTCCATTGGATGACAGTCTAGGGGAGATGGCTAAACCCTGATTCCAAACCTCCAACGACTGGCGTATGAAGCTCACCGGAGCTCACCGGCAGACGTATGGACAAAGGCCTTATTGGATGCCCTGGATGTCTGGTCCCATTCAAAAAGGCGTAAGAACCGGACTCCGGTCACCGGCTGCCAATGGATAGTGGACTCCCTACTCCACTCCTACTGCCTTGTAGGTCACACTTGGTTGTGTAAAGGCTAGAGCTGCACTCTCAAACAAAAGGCCGAGCGATCCTGGGGACATCACTCGTACCTAATTCCCATGAAACTTCATAAACTCTCTTAAGAGATGTTCATGAAGCCGGCTCATCCTCCCGTAGGAGATAGCCGAAGTAAAGTAAAGTAAGTAAGTATACTTTCAGAAAGCCTCTTCACTAAACTGAAACCTAATAAATACAGGTGTTGTCATAATCTCAGATTTTCTCTAATGTTTTCATATGTTTTTTTTCGCGAAACTACTAGGATAGTCCACCTTCACTAAGAAATCATGAATATACTCAAACTCCTTTTGTAAGTAGTGATCATCTGTATGACACTTAACAATGTTTCTTTTATGTAGTCAATAGGCACGTAACTAAGCAAATGCGTGTACACCCATCTTCTCGCTTACTAAATGTTTACTTAAGTGACGTGACTAAACACTGTAGTCAGTTTATATTATAAGCTTAATTTTCATCTTGCAAACCTCTTCACAATCCTTTTTTTCTATCTAATGAACTTGACCTCTGTACAATATTCTCTCTCACCTGTCGTTTTGCATGACTGACTCATTGTTAGCTTGTTAACTTATCAATCATATATATATCTCCAAAGGTATTTCTAATTACAAAATATACACATAACTTTATGTAGAATTCTACCGAAATTTGGCAAAATCCTTAAATTCTGCATTCTTTAACAACATTTTATGATATCTCACCCTTTATTGTAAATGTGGAAAATTTTCTATGTGATTAGTTTTTATTTATAATTTGAGGAAATTAGGTGCAATATTGTATGTGATTAATGCTGAGAATTCCATTCTGTATCACAGGTACTGGTTTTGGAATAAAGTAAATCATTATTATTACTATTATTATTATTATAGATAATTTATAAATACGATCAATAAGCAGGCAAATATATAACACTACCGATGATTGAGCCTAGTTGACGACGGTGAAACTTCTTTTGATGATGGCTGTTCACCTGAGCAGGCTTCTTGGCCAATTTCAATTGATCCGTGTGCAGATTTTAAATCTTCGCTGACATGTGGATTGATAAAATGCTGCCCAAAAGCTTTATCCAATGAAGGCTCCAGTTTCAAGAGTAACCGTTCCTAGAAATAATAATAATACAAATTTATTTAAATTTAAACAAATGACATTAACTCTCGGTGTTGATTATCAGCTTAAGAAATTAATACAAAAAGTAGGTTATACTTGTCAGTCATTTTATTTTATTTTCGTCTCTCCAACACACTGGACACAAACCCACAATGTCACAAGGTATAAAGTTAGAAACCCCGACGTGGTAGTCGGGCTTGCACATTGCGATCAACCAACAAGCTACAACCAATGTTCCTTCAGGTCTTACCATGCGCCTGCCAGGAAGGTTGTTAGGATAGTGATTAGACTAAAAGCAGTTACCGGCACAGTGTACGGTTTGTTTTTACACTATTCTGGGGGGGGGTCTGTGGGCGAAGTCGTACTGCTGGCAAACAGGAATGTAACGGCAGTGAGGTGTTTCCCTCAGATGACCAGCATACCAGCCAGTCACCTATGCTGTCTCTCCACTCTGGAGAGAAGGGGTCAGAAAACGTTGACCCAAAAAATTCTACATCTCGACTTACTCCACCTACGGTGTTCCGTAACCAGCGGTAAGTTTACTAATACGGAACCAAATCAACCCCAGAAACCAGTTCATACAGGCCGTGTGTGACCGGCGGGCCTCAAGCAGTTGTCCCTTTGGCTCTCCGTGCACGCAACACTAACCCTCTTTCTGTTTCAGCCACCCGAAGAATCACGGTGTGGGCAGCCGGGAAGTAACAACCGCCCACACACTTCCAAAAACAGACAGGGAGACAGACAGAAAGTTAGAAACCGTTTTAGTTGGAATCCAGTGATCTAGAATTCCCAATATGTCATTCTTGTTCTTCCAACTGATATCGATCTGTGACTAGGCCAAATTAAAAATCCATTACCCTATACACGTAAACCCTACAATCTAGCATTAGCCGTTCAACTGATCGAAAACACAAGAAACACACAAACAAGACAATTACCATTCAGCTAACATATTCAGACTCAGTATTTAAATGGTTAAAGCGTGCCGGTTGTTCGGCGGTAGAAAACTCGCTAAAGACAGAAATGTGGCTTGGCGGGGGGGGAGGGTCTGATATGTATCCACATGATTTGTGTATTTTGTTGTTGACAGTCTATTATATTTTGCTATGTGTATATGGATCGATATTTCATTTTAACTGACAATATGCTTTTGTCTGTCCACTAACTAAATAAACATGTATGACCTTGTTATCACATGACATTACAACCAATCATGGTAAGATGTTATCTTATTGGTTCGTATGTATTAGCCATTTTCATAAATACTTTGCATTGTACACTTTATTATTCTTGTTCTTACATTTCGTACATTTAAGTACCCTTTCACTCACACACTTGTGTGACATTTATTTTCCCTGTTTGGAAAATACAAGTATCATCGTAAACCTGGTGGTCTTCTGATTTCCCTCTATCCGCATCAGGACTATTAACTACTCGACCAGTACATAACATAATTGGCGACGGGGAAAACTTTAATAACTCACTCAGCAGCAGTACATAACAGGGTCGATCACTGGCCGACGACACATTCGTAAACCTCGCTTAGTCCAGCACAGTAAGCATAGTAAAGAGGGAAAGTTGACAGCGTGAAGCTAGCAACTCTATCCCGTAAAAAGTAAGTCAAAATAGTCTTAGTGACTGAAACCCTGTCTGGCCTGTCTGGTTTCAACATAGAACAATCCAGCAATGTGCAGCAGTTCGAATCGCCACACTTCACTCAGCACACAAAGCAAGACAGGGATATGAGACAAAGGAATAGAAATATCGAAGAATAATAGAGTTTGATTGGAAATTAAAAGTCACAAGGAGTAAATGCACCTGTACCAGTCATTGAGAACGATTTTGAGCCATATCACCGATTGTCTCCCAGCCTTCATTGCTTTTTACCGTCCCGAGGACCCCAACCAGTCAATCAGGAAGTCTACACCTTCCTACGTGACTGGTTGGCTTAAACTAAGTGTTGTGGATTTCATTGACTGGTGAAGCCATGTTTTTATTTGACCATTATTAGCTTTCTCTTTTCCAACCTGACCCTACGTCAGCTAACATTGCCCGTCAGTCGAAGAAGGCGATGACTAGGCATACGTACTATTAGTGTTAATCGGGGTTAAATGGAAACTACCCATCAGGTCAGGTCATAACATCTCACGTGACTCAAATGCAATTTATCAAGTTAGCAGACAACAACAAGAGGAAAACGATAAACAATAAGATGAAGTGAACTGATAGAGACAGAAAAAGAAACTTAAATGATCCATCCATCACAAGATGCAAGTTGACCACGATGATAGCCAAGATTTGAAAATTGATTATTGTCTTAGATTTATGATCTGGAGACTAGATGATCAATAATTTTGTCATGATTATAAATTTCTGGTTTCAAAAAGAAAAGACGTACTTATCGGAAAACTCTCGAAAAGGATGTGTGTGTGGGGTGGGTGGGTGGGGTGTAATTTAATCTCACCGGTGACTGAAAACATGAATGTATTACTTCAATTGCTATTTCATCATACAGTTTCCGTTTCAAGTTGTAATTAAGTAACAAGTTCGAGTATAACACAAAAAAGTTGGTTCCATGACAAAAAAAATTACAGCAAATATAGTTTGTTTTCTTGCCCAAGAAAGGGGACTTAAGTCCATGTTAGAACTGGCGCGGTATTATGCTCCTGTCCATCCCAAACAAAATACTAAATCGCATCATCCTGGATAAAAAAAGTTCGACCGGGACAGGCTGGATTTAGCAGGAACAAGTCATGCATCGATCAAATTGCAACACTTGGGGTCATCATTGAACAGAGCTTGAAATGGCTGTCACCTCTCTATCTGAACTTCATCGAATTTGAAAAGGGCTTCGACAGACAGCGTCGATCAAGAGGTGATTTGGAAACTACTTCGCTACTAGGTGGTGCCGCCAACAATTATACACCTCATCCAACAGTTGTACGACAATGCTGCATGCCGTGTAATCCACAACGGGAAACTTACAGAATCCTTCGAAGAAGTGAAGACGGGAGTAAGATAAGACTGGTTGGCTGCCTACTATCTCCAGTGATTTTCCTGATTGTAGTAGACTGGATAGTGCGACAGACAGAGAGATAGCGGGCTGGGCAACGAGGAGGCAGGCATAAAATGGACCCACACAAAAACACTTGGAGGATCTGGACTTTGCCCATGATGATATGTGTCTGATTTCCCACAAACTGGAGGATATGCAAGTGAAAAGCAACAAGTTGGCACAAGAAGCATCAAAGATAGAACTTAACTTCAGGTGAACATAGAGAAAACGGAGGTGATGGTGATTCCTCGCCAACAGCAATGACAGCAGCGACAACAACAGACAACAATCAGCATAAATGGGAGAAATCTGAGAGAAGCAACCTTCTTCATCCACCTGCCTACCCACATGGGAAGCATCGTTTCAAATACAGGCGGGCGAAAGTGATGAGGATATCATTAAAGCAAGGATTGGGAAAGGAAGACAAGCTTTCATTACTTTCAAAGTCTGTGTGGAGGAGATCAACAGCACTACTCAGCATGAAAAATAAGATCCGGATTTTCAAATCCAATGTGAAGTCAATGCTACTTTATGGATCAGAGACTTGGCGCGTCATGAAGAGAACCTCAAACAAACTACACACCTTGATCAACAGCTGCCTTAGCTCAGTACTCAAGATCAGATGGCCAGAATAGGTCAGCAACAGGGATCTCTGGGAGTAAACCAACCCAGCAGGAACCGATTGTGCAACAAATAAGCAGGAAGAAATGGAGGTGGATAGGAGGCCACACTCTGAGAAAACCATCAAGTGACATCACACGCCAGGCCATCGGTCGAATGGAACCCGAACGGGAAGCGGCGAGTTGGAGGAGGTCATGTGAATGGGAGATGAAAGCATGTGGGCAGACGTGTAGCCGGGTGAAAACGTTGGCAAAGAACCGAACGCAATGGAGACGTGTGGCTGAAGCCCTATGTTTCTCTAGGCACTAAAGGAAACAATAATAATAATGTTTTCGTAACATATTAGCCGCAATTAATAACTCATTCTATTAACAATTACGAATGTGGTACAATAATATCATATGATACATCATATGCGTTTACTAAATGTCCATGAAATTCAATGACCCTTAAGACCAAAAAGTCGGAGAAGAATTTGAACAAGAGAAACTTAAATTACAATGTGTCAGAATTACATTTTACGTAAGAGTATGAACAATACTTCGTGATAAAGGTAACAAGGCGGATTAATCAAAGACGGGTGCTTAGCTTAATCCTAAATCCAACTTACTTTTAAGGACAGATGAAATCTTTTGAAGAAACATTTTACTTAACTAAACAAGCCTAAAAGATTCTTTCCACAAATTAAAATACGCGCGTTGCTATCATATATATATACATAATATAAACCTCATTCAACAGCTCTATATGACCATGCCACATGCCAAGTAATTCACAACAAAAACCCACCCAATAGATTGACTTAAGGACAGGAGTAAGACAAAACACGACTGCCTACTACCACTGATGATCTTCCTAACTGTGGTGAACTAGAGTTAGAAGACGAGCATATGTTGGACTAACGAGAAGACTCCATAAGATATAGATAGACTTCAAGGATCATTTATACCTCATATCATACGACTTCGGAGATTTACGAGCGACGACCAACAAGTTGGCAGGAAAAGCAGCACAGACAGGACTTCAGGAGAGTATAAGGAAGACAGAGGTGATGAAGATAATAAACAACCAACAGCGACAAACACCAGTCATTATCAATGGAAGGAAGCCAAAGAAAGTTATCTCTTTGAATTAACAGAGAAGTATCCTTTCAAATACAAGTGGCACACATGACGAGAACAAGGCCAACTAGGACTGTAGCAGGGAAGTATGGAGATGTACAACACTTAACACAATAAACAAAATTCAATCTTTCAACATTAATGTCAAATAATCAGGGCTTCTATGTGGTTCAATAACTTAGTGGGCACGCCAACAAAAGCATTTCGAATAGACTGAAAACTTTCATTAACAACAGCCTTCGTTCGGCACTCAAGATCAAATGACCAGGGAGGATAAACACCAAGGAACTTCGGCAGAGAACAAACCGGTTAGCAACATATTGGACAACAAATATACTACAGGATTGGATATACGTTGGGGTGACCACTGAGTGACCGTACACACTTGACCTTGGAATGAGTGTCCTAAGGTGATATGAAGAAGATCATGGGAAAGGTGGTGGGTTGTGGTGGAACTAGTTTAATCAACCGGCATAGAACAGAACACAATCGAGATGTGCTGCTGAAGCCTTATGCTACCTTCAGAATGCAAGGAACAAATTTATATATATATATATATATATATATATATATATATATAGCGAATAACAATAAAACCTACCAAGATTCCAGGAGTTGATGTTTGTCTTTCATTTGAAAGTCTGCAATCACTGGGAATCTCCACTGTAGTTGGTGGAACAGCTACTACATTTGGTGTGCACTGAGTAAATTCTCCAAAATCTTCACTATCATTATCTTCTTCTGCACAGCTCTCGGTGTTTATGACATCAGGAGCATTGCTAACCTTACTGTCGACATTGTCGATTCTCTCATCAGTAAATGTAGCCCAATTTTCATCCGCTGGACCGTTACTTACAAAATCAGCGAAATCATCTTCACAAAAGTCGGTAAACACATCACCTCCAGTTTGTTCTGCTGAATTCTGTACAACATCAATTTGCTCAATGGGGGGACATGATGAAAGATCAGTGTCATTCTGACTTATTTGCGTCCTGTTATTTGTTGCATCTGTTGTATCAATGTTTGCAGGTGTGTCTGATACAATCTCAGGGTATGACTGAAGCTCATTAGCATCACTTGCATTCGGATACACTTGTAATTTGGAATCCATATGATTTGATGAGGTTGATGACGATGATTGTTTTGTACTAGCTACAACAACTGAATTTATATAAGCAGCAAGATCATGATACATAGGACCATCAGGTATATCACAGGGGATTTCAACTGACTCTGAACTAGAAAGACTGTCAGCAGGTGAGTAGATTTCTGCATAATGATCCGATAATTCATTTTCATTTGAATGTTGTAATACGTCAGAGTCTTTGATGCTATTACAACAATTTGCTGAACATGGTGATTTTCGATTGACATTTTCTAATAATAATTATTATGAAAATATAAGATGAGATGACAAAAACAACCTACCTTCATATTCACTGGATAAAACCATACAACTTGGTTCAGATGTTTCCATTAGTTATTTACTTATTTATTTTTCTATGAAACTTTGTAGTGCTTTATTCAGCTATGCATATTACTAAAAATATCAACAACACAAAAAAAATCAACCATTGAAATAAACAATTTTGTTAAAGAAAATAAACTTTCATTATTACTAAAATGAGGCGCCCTTCAACAGACCACTATTCTCTACAGTGTTACTGTGGTCTTTATTTGATTACTTTTTTTCTGGCTCTCATACACATTTCCGACTATAGTATTCTGTCAGCCTACTCCTCTTCGCTTATAATGAGCTATTGATGCTCAATGGCACAGGGTGGTAAGGTGACGTGTCTGACTGTTACGCAATATATTAGGAGGTACAAGACAGTTGCCTCATTTGATTCTATTCCCACCTTGACGTGGTGGTCGAGCTTGCACATCGCGATCAACCAACAAGCTGTACTGGCTGGAACCAATGTTCCTCCAGGTCCTACCATGCCTACCAGGAAGGGTGTTAGGATAGTGATTAGACTAAAAGCAGTGACCGGAATTGTGCAAGAATCCTTCTTACAATATTCTGAAGGTCTGAGGGCGAAGTCGTACTCCTGGAGAACACGGGTGCAACAGCAGTGAGGTGTTTCCCTCAGATGACCAGCATGTCGGCCCGCTATGCTGTCTCTCCACTCTGGAGAAAGAGACGGGGTTAGAAAGCGTCGACCCCAGCAACTGTACATCCCGACTTACCCCACCTACGGTGGTCCGTAACCGGCGGTAAGTTTACTAATACGGAACCAAACCAAGAAACCAGTTCATACAGGACATGTGTGACCGGCTGACCTCAAGCAGCTGTCCCCTGGGCTCTGCAGTCACGCAACACTAACCTTTTTTCTGTTTCAGGTACCCGAAGAATCAATCAACTTCCACGGTGTGGGCAGCCGGGAAGTAATAACCACCCACACACTTCCAAAACCACACGAAGCCTTCCTGAGCATCATTCTCCTTTACTCACATCACCTTTACTCTGATTCCATTTTGATATAATTAATAGGCCACCACCACTTTAACCAAATGACTGCTAAACCACTAGTACACAAACGCACGCTGACATCAATCCCCCTTATTCAGGGAAACATGCTACGTGAATGGCTCTTCACTATAAAGTGCAATTAATATGCACATCAAGACTGAGAAAAAGTCTGAATGGTAACAAAGGGTGGAGCTAAGTCAAAGTGTATTGACAAAACTAATATTAGATGGGATAAAAGAATTAGGTATGAGGCATAGGGGAGATGAATAAAAACAGACAAAGAGAGAAAGAACAGATATATACACAAAATAGAAAGATCATGAGAGTATCAAGTGGATGATTGTAGTGCCAATATGGTGCCTCATAGCTGGAATGTACCTCTGGTATATGTGGGTCAAATAGTCATTTTTCGCATCGTCGTAAGGTTTTCCCTTGAAACTACCGCCTGACGAAGCCGTAGCTATGTTAGCCGATAGTGAGTTCTATGAATAACACACTGTTAGTCAAAATGATCTGATGATATTAGATGGTTGAAGGCAATCGGCCACGGGAAGCCTTGGACCTACATTTCGTGCTAGTTGGCACTCACCAGTCAACAAGGCAGGCGCATCTACAAACTTGAAGGGACTCATGTCCCTTCTGATGATGGTAACGTCACTGACTGCAGCACTGAGTGACGCGGGTTCAAGTCTAAGAAGGGACATGAGTTCCTTCAAGGTTGCCGATACGTCTTGCTGATTAGTGCCAGCTGGCACGAAACCTAGGTGAAGCAAGGCTTCCTGTGACCGATTATCTCCAACCATCTAATATCATCAAATCAATGTGCACCATGATAGCGAGCTACCTAGAATGGTGGCCACATTACAAACCTGACTGATAGAATTCAGTCTGCACCAGAGAAAGGACTAGACACGTCACACTAGTTACTAGTGTCCAATCAAAAAGTCAGAATGATCTGCCTGAGATTATTACAAGAAAATGCACTCTTTTAGAAGAATTGGAATGACTAATTGTCTATGCTAGCCCGTTGGGACTATCTGGGAATCTTACACAGACCGGCTAATACCACAGTTAATCTAGTTAATAATAACCTTCAATATTAATGTAAGTGTATAACTTAGGCACTGTGGTAGAATGTAATTCCATATTAGATAAGTTTATTTTAAATATCGCTCAGCGATGCAGTATTAACAAGTGGATGACAAGGTTTCGCGAATAAATTATTGCTACTCATAATCACATCAATTTTAGTCACACAGCTTCACAATTTCTTTTATATGTATTCTCTCTCTTTCTGTCTCTACAACTTTGTTTTCTTGTTAGTTGCCATTTTCCATATCTCCGGTATAGGCATTGCGTCATTCCAATTGCACGTGTGAAGTGTTGGATCGATAAACAAAGCTTAAGGGATTAATATGTCTTCACCAAACTATACTGCTTTTTAAAACTGTCGCCCTCTCCCACCCAGTTGTTGTGTGATTAGATACATGTGAATGCTGTGCAGTGGCTGAGCTCTGCTTTTCTAGATTATTTAACCCCGACCGAAAGCTGCTACCTTGACGTGGTGGTCGGGCTTGAACACCGCAATGACCTAATCAAGCTATACTGGCTGAGACTTATGTCTCTTGAGGTTCTACCATGCCAGGCAGGTTGTTTGGATAGCGGTTAAACAAAAAGCAGCTACCCAATCCAACATCATGTCCAATACAAAATTACAAAATTTCATGCCGGATCGGCCGTGGCCCGGATTAACAACGACCGCGCTTCCTGCTGCCGTGTCACAGGGCAGGAGTGATAAATCTGCTACTGAGACACACCAAACAAAAAAGAACAAACAAAAACAGGCCGCGTGTGACCGGCCTCAAGCAGTTGTCCCCTGGGCTCTGCGGTCACGCAACCAACTTCCACGGTGTGGGCAGCCGGGAAGTAACAATCGCCCTCACAATCCGAAATGCACACGAAACCTCTCTATTACTCACTCATCTTTGTCTTCATCTTCATCTCTATCATCTTGCCTTCCTTCCACTGATGCAACTCCTCGACTTGATAGCTCTCCACTTCCTCTCCACTCTGCGTCCACTAAAAACGATGGAAGCCAAAAAACCACCACCGACAGCCTCTTAAAGCCGCGCCACCAATTTCATATAGGAGCTCTTAATGTTAGGACACTTTGCCAAATAGGACAACAAGCATCACTAGCCAAGACCCTGGCATCACGAGCCATTGATGTATGCTGTGTTTCAGAAACACGCATACAAGACCCAAGTGTGGTTATTCACCTAACCCCACCTGGCCAACAGGTTGAATCTGCAAAATTCACCTTGAGGGTGTCAGGAGATGCCACAGCTAGTTCACGAGGATTAGCTGGCGTAGGGATAGCTTTGAGTACTAGGGCAGAAAAGACATTGCTTGACTGGATCCCGGTAGATAGCCGAATGTGTGCTGTCCGCCTGAACGGATCAGTAAGAAGGAGGAAGGACTGCACTACTCGCCGATGCCTTTTCGTAATCTCCGCCTACGCCCCCACTGACTGCAGTTCAGATGAAACGAAGGATGAGTTCTACCAAAAGCTGTCTAGTTTGGTGCGAAAGGCTAAACGCTCAGACATAGTCGTTCTAGCTGGTGACTTTAACGCTCAAGTAGGGAAATTGTGTCAATCTGAGAAGGATGTCGGTGGCACCTATGGAGTTCCGTGCCAGCGAACCGACAACGGTGACCGTCTCCTACAGTTCTGCTCTGATAATCATTTGTTTCTTGTAAGCACTAACTTCAAACACAAGGAGAGACACTGTTTGACTTGGAGACCCCCTTCATCAAACCAACGCTGGACACAAATAGACCACATAGCAATAAGCTATCGTTGGCGTGGGTCGGTAGGAGATTGTCGCTCCTTCTGGAACACGTGCGTAGATACCGACCATGCACTGGTCCGCGCTCGGGTGTGCTTACGACTGAACGGACGTAGGAAACAGCTGGCGGTAAAACCATCACGTCCCCAGCTCGATCAGGAAACTAAATCCGTATTTGAGGAAGAACTAGCTAAACACATATCTGTGTTCGACAGCTGTGCTCACCCTGAAGAAGCTTGGAAAAATATCCAGGCAGCCATAGATACAGCTGTAAAAGCTGTGAATAAGGTAAACCCAAAGGTGAGTAAAAACCACTGGATCTCCACCGCCTCATCCGAACTGATAGATGCTAGAAGACTTATTCCGGCGAGCTCCGAATTCAATGAGGAGCGAAAGCTGCACAAGAGGAAACTTACGAAAAGTCTCCGCAAGGACCGTGAACAGTGGTGGGCGACAAAAGCCAAAGAGATGGAGAAAGCTTCGAGGATAGGCAACACCAGGCAACTCTTTGGACTCATCAGGGAAACGGGTGGGAGAAGACAAATCATCAGTGAGACAATCTCGGAAAAAAATGGCACTATAATTAGCTCCCAGGATAGACGACTGGATCGTTGGAAAGAGCATTATGAGGAGCAGTTTAATTTGCCCACAGCCACGCTCAACCTTCCGAGCATCCAACACCTCCCTGAATGGGATATAAACACAGGTCCTCCGTCACTAACTGAGGTTACTAAAGCTGTCACCAATCTGAAACTAGGCAAAGCAGCGGGACCTGATGGAATGACTCCAGAGGTATTTAAGTACGGTGGAGACAGCTTACTGTCCGGATTAACTGAGGTACTAGGCAGCGTCTGGGAATCAGAAGAAGTCCCATCGGGTTGGTGTAAGTCACTGATTATCCCCATATACAAGAAGGGAGACAAGTCTTCCTGTGATAATCACAGAGGGATTAGCTTGACTAATATAGTATCTAAAGTCTTAGGCTCAATAATCATGCGTAGACTGAGTGGTGCTCGGGAAGCACAAACACGAGAGAGCCAGGCAGGCTTTAGACCAGGAAGAGGGTGTATTGATCATATCTTCACCCTCCGACAGATTCTAGAACATAGGCATTCCTACCGGCGTCCAACAGTCATTATATTTCTTGACCTAAAGGCAGCATTCGACTCTGTCGATCGGGAAGTTCTCTGGAGATGCTTGGCTGTAAAGGGAATTCCGAGAAAATATATTGCACTGATTAAGGCACTCTACTCGTACTCATACAGCCAGGTGAGGGCTTACGGCGAGCTGTCATCTGAACTGATGACGACCAGTGGTGTCCGTCAAGGATGCCCATTATCTCCTTTTCTATTCAACTTCATCATAGATGTGTTAATGGACTTAACCCTAGGTGACTTCAGCGACTCAGGGATTGACTTGCTACCGGGGAATAATCTCGTTGACTTGGAATATGCAGACGATATAGTCCTTCTAGGCGAAGACGCTGACGAAATGCAGAGTCTTCTAAACACCTTGAGCCGCAATCTACGAATGTTTGGCATGCGATTCGCTCCCGCCAAATGCAAGATGATGTTACAGGACTGGACTACATCGACGCCTAGTTTAAAAATAGGAAGTGAAGTGGTAGAGCACGTTGACCGCTTCACTTATTTGGGAAGTACCATCAGCCCCAACGGGCTGATCTCTGACGAAATCTCAGCACGAATACAAGGGGCTCGTTTCGCATTTGTTAGTTTACGCCGACTCTGGCGTAGACGAGATGTTCGACTATCGACCAAAGGGCGGGTGTACTGCTCATCAGTCCGCTCCGTCCTCCTTTATGGTTGTGAGACCTGGCCACTGAGAGTGGAAGACATGAAAAGACTAGCTGTCTTTGATCATAGGTGCCTGCGTTCTATTTCCCGTGTAAAGTGGCATAATAAGGTGAGCAACATGGAGGTTAGGCGTAGAGTTCTAGGTAAACAGGGGAAATCAATCGACGAAGTCGTGAAGCTACAAAGACTGAGATGGTTAGGACATGTGTTACGTATGCCAAGCCATCGCCTCCCTCGACGAGCAATGTTAGCGGATATAGGGTCAGGCTGGAAAAAAGCTAGCGGCGGTCAAACAAAAACTTGGCATCAGTCAATGAAATCCACAACAGTTGGTCTAAGCCACGTAGGAAGGTGTAGACTTCCAGGCTGGGGTCCTCGGGACGGTAAAAATCTATGGTTGGAAACAATTGGTGACATGGCTCAAAATCGTTCTCAGTGGCGCAGATGCATCCACTCCCTGTGACTTATGATCTTCAATGAAACTGTTTTGTATTTCTTTATTACTCCTTTGTCTCACACCTCTGCTCACTGTTTCTATTATGCTTTTCTTGTACTTTCTTCTCTTGCTTCGCGTGCTACACGGAATGTGGCGACTTGAACTTCCGCACATTTGTGCAAAGTTCTATGTCGAAAGCAGACAGACAGACAGATTATTTAACTTAGCAGGGTCGATCATCATTCTACGTCTAGCTGAATTTTTATGTTCCAATAATCTAGTTGATCGCGATCTACGAGTTTGATTTATGATATTAACCTCATTTTTTTATTACAGCTTGATTCCACACTGTATTTTTGGTACAAGTATGGAATTTTCAGCATGGATATCGGTAGCCCAAATTTTGCAGGCCGATCATAGATATCAGGTGTGCGTCGGCAGGGGATCGAACCTCGGACCATGTACATGGTCGGCGAGAGTCCTAACCACTGTGCCACCAACGCACATTGCATGATATCCAGTAAATTATATTGTTTTCCATAATTCGATCTATTGGGTCCTTAAGCCGACAAAGTCTATTTCTGTGAGAATCCCACATAAGGCTTCTGAAGTTCCTTCTTTATACGGCAGTGCTACAGAGACTTTCAATTCTATATTATTTTCCTCATTTTATTGCTTATTTTAGTTTTCAAATATTGGTTTGTAGGAATTCGACTGATTGGTTGCAGGATTTCACCATGAGCTGATATAGCCTTGTAATCAGAATGTCCTGAATTCGAACCCCAATGTGTGCGCACTGATGAAGAGTCCCAAACTAAGAAGAAACAGGCGTCCAGTACTCCTGCAGGTTTTGCGATGGTTCTCTAACCGATGTCGGCTTATGGTGAAATCCTGTAACCAATATTAATTTTTCTATGGTTGTTCATATACTTCTGAATAAATTCTGGTGGTCAGTTATTCACTAGTAATTCTTCCTCTATTTGTTTGATTTCAGAATTTAGATCTGGCTTATTAGTTAGGCTCTTGGCCCGAGTATACAGACATTTAACTTAGCCTACTGTGTCGCTGTGATATTTAAAATAGACTCATCTAATATGGAACAGCCCTCTACACCACTGGAGTTATACTAGCAGGTGCTGCTGCTTCGCCTGGTTGTAGATGGATGACAGTCTTCGCAACCTCCTATACAGTTGGAGGACCAAAGCATTATTATTATTACTGTTCTCTTGGGTTCCTAGTGGAAAATAGGGCTTCATCTGCACGTCTCCACTAGCTTCTGTCTTCTGCTGTACTTTTCACCTGCATCCATGTTAGTCCATACTGTTTCAACCCCTCTTCACACGATCTCCTCCATGATCGGAGGACGAATGTATTCATTCCTAAACCAAGTAACGAGTTTTCCGACCTCAAGCCTACTAGTACTCTTGAAGTAGCAAGACCAAGGGAACTAATCAAAGATTTTACTAACACCTGCCTAGTGGATTTTGTAGATTCACTAAGTTGTCTGAGTGCAACTAGAGTGAATAAACGCACGAGTATCTTATGCGACTGAAATGCGACATACGTCAACTGCTCGAAATGATAGGTTATAGCTAGTGAGGCCTGTTCGTGTGTTGAAAAGCCTAATAGTGAGTTGGCAGTACAGATATGACTGACTTCAAAAGCACTACAGAATCCTTGGAGCAGACCGCAGATTGCTTCCCACTTGCAGCAATGCGCCTGGAGAAGTTAACTGGAAAGTCATTGGCGTTGATAATACTAACGGTAAGATGAAGAAGAGTATTTAAAAAAGCGAAGTTAGACTCAGCAAGACAACAGCACTATTGACCCTGAATCTAATAAGTGAGTTATAAAGGTTAATATGAGTGAGAAAATAGAACTCAAGTATTATATCTACTCAGCAGTCTACTCGGCGGAATATAAGCACATAGAAGTTATATGCATACACTTTTTAACACATGTTTGACGCAGACCAATGCGTGTTAGAATGATTTACTACCGTCAACAAGCCTTTTCTCTAAAGGCAACTATTTATGACAAGGCTCACTGGGTTTTCGTCAGCATTACACCTTTCATAAGCCTGTCCTACATACGCTAAATATTTTTTATCAAATAAAAACTACGGCACAATGATAATACTCAATAGCTCGATTGTTATTCAGCTAACACCGGCAGCTGTTATTCGTTGCCCTAATCTGAGGAATACAATAAGCTACATTGTGAGGCCTGGCATAACATAACTTAGTATCTTGTCTAATTACACTTACGTTTGTTGGAAGTTGCAGGAAAAAAAGAGTTGACATATCTAAACAATAACAGGTGAAGCGCCAGTACCAAATTGACCGCGGCACTTTCTTCTGACCTTGAGGTATAGGTATACACATAAGATACTGCAAACTCTTTCGTGTGGTTTTGTGGATATCCCCGCTAAATGTACGGATTAACTCTGTAGCTATGATATCTTTATGACAAAGTATATTCTTTAAGTGCTTTTAAAATGAAATTTTGCATTAAAAATTGTTTTCTAGCCTACATATTATCTGTAACATTATCCAACTGAAATATATTTTTATCCCAAAATCTGGCTTGGTACTGATATCTGCGTTGTGTAATGGGTTAAAAAGGATTGCAAATTCAAAGGTTAAACTCATATTGTCAAGTTTTCATGAAATCATGCTGGTATATTTTGGCCTGTTTATTGAGACCCCTAATACCCGCCAGATAGTAATAGCGCCACTTCAAAAAAAGATATGACATATAATCATTCAACTCCTACAGCAGAAAATATGCTCTGAAGTGCCAAAGCCACCGATCATGGATAGTACGATGAATGCTAACGAAAGATCTTATACTCACAACCCCTACAGTATTCGTCCCTCACAGATCAAATACAAAGCAAAACACTAAAGCGATCATCCAAAATGCGAAATATATTTCGTGACCACAATCGTAGTGACAGGATGACTGCTTAACTAGCTATTGACTATGCATAAACAACCGAACGTAACACAACAGCGTGCCGAACAGCGTGGATGCTTGGCCACGAGTCCTCAGCTTAACGAATTGACTTTAAACAATGGGGATCAGCATCCAGTGTTGAATGAGGAATGGTGTGGCTAATAATTTCGGAAAATCACCTACCTCTACAATACTATGAAAGAAGACATGGGAACGGTGGCATCCAAAGTAATTTTCACTAAATTCACAAATTTCTTAATCTAATTTTTGTGTCTATTCAACCTTCTACTATACATTGATCTGACAGAACTGCGCCACTTCGGCTATATCATGTACTAGCCGACATATGTGGATGAAGAACAATCATCTCATTCGTGAAGAATTATACGAAAAGATCAGACCAACAGGATCTCTAATACCAAGACTGTATGGTCTACCGAAAATACACAAAGCTGGAGTTCCACTTCGCCCTATCTTGGATATGTCTGGATCGCCCTATCATCCAGTAGCTGGGTGGTTAGCTGAAATCCTCGAACCAGTCAGGGGGCAACTATATAATCATTCCCTTCGGGACACCTTCCAATTTGTTGAATGTATACAGGATGTAAATGCGTCGAATAAACAAATGTTGTCTTTGGATGTAGAATCCTTATTTACGAAAGTTCCACTGACAGAAACCATATGTTTTATATGCAAATATATTGAAGACAACAAATTGAACATAGGGATACCTACTACAGATCTTAAAGAACTACTTTTGAGATGTACATTGAATGTACAGTTTACTTTCAATGAAACAATCTACAGGCAGAAGGATGGTATTGCGATGGGTTCTCCCTTGGGTCCTCTCCTTGCAGACGTTTTTATGTCCAGTCTAGAAAATGGTTCCCTGAAGCCTATGATCCAAAGCTTTCAAATATATAAAAGGTATGTAGATGACACCTTTATTATTTGTAATATTGATTGTAACCTGAATAATATATTAAATGTATTTAATGAGTGCCATCCTGCGATAAAATTCACACTCGAAATGGAGAACGAGTCTAGCATTCATTTCCTCGATGTGAACTTATCAAGAAGGACCGATGGAACTCTGAAGAGATCGATTTATCGTAGGCTGTTATGGAATGGTCAACTGACAAATTTCTATAGCTGGGTACCTATTGGTCGAAAACGAAACCTGGTCCGGTCGCTTGCCACTCGTATTCGGCGCATTTGTAGCACTGATACTGTGGAAGATGAGTTATACACTTTGAGGAAAATCCTAATGGAAAATGGATTTCCACCACGTTTTATAGATAAGAATATACATTCAAAGCCTACAAAACGTGACTTATCAACCGCTCCCAAGAAAATACTTTACATGAGCTTAGAATTCAAAGGGGACTTAGCTTCCGATATCATGAAACGAAGGATATCACAGTCCCTGAAAAGAACATTCCCTGCTGCCTCTCTGAGAATAGCTTTTACTAGCCGACCATTATTGTTCAATAACCTGAAGGACAAGATCCCAATGTTGACCAACTCTATGTGCGTTTATCAATTCACCTGCTCTTGTGGAGCTAGGTATATCGGTCGTTCGACTCGAGTTTTGTCCAAGAGGGTGCAAGAACATTATCCTGCATGGCTACGAAAAGGTGGAAGTGGAGCAATAAGAAGCGCGATCATAGAACATCTGGTCGAAAATGATCACCCTATCTCTATAGCCTCCGCCTTTAAAGTCATCTACAAGGCAAAGAGCAATTTACCTAAATCCCTACGTACCCGACTCATCTGTATTGCTGAAGCTTTGGCTATCGAAACAGAAAAGCCAGATCTCTGTGTACAGAAAAAGTTCGTTCAACCCCTCCAACTCTCATGGTCTTAATCCCTCTATGCTAAAATATGATAATCCCCAATCATATTTTAGCTCTACCAATTTTTCATTTTGTCTATTCAATTTGTATACTCTTCCTTATTAGGTCAATTGTTATTATTACTATTCTCCCTTTGAACTGTCCCCGGTATTATTTCACTTGTTCCACTTATCATTCTAAATTAATTGTTTTTACAACGATAAATTCTATACTATTAAATTTCACACAATATTACGTAACGTTTTTGTTTTATTCGATTTGCCTACTAATCCTATAATTGCACATCCTTTTTCAAGTTCTATCCCTCCTATGAATTATTCTATATATGACATTAATCTGCTTTGCCACTTGACATTTAACTACGATTATAATCGCAAACATTTTAGTTTTAATCGAACTTCATATGATTATTATTATTTTGTGCATTCACACCTAAGATTCAATTCCCTCACCGGATATAACTTCTGATAAACCATATATATACGACTGTACAGCTTGATGATAAATTCGTTGAAAAGAGTCTCTTCGCTGAATCACTTGTTTTGATTTTCTAAATATGTGGATGTACTGTGGTTTAACTGATGGATAAACATTTAGATACAGCCTTAAATTTATATTTAAGGCCGAAACACGTAATTTGTTGTTGTTTTGATCTTCGAGATTAATCTGAAACTTTCGGAAGATGAGAGAGAAAATTCAGGAACGCTTATGAATGCCCGCAATACTTCCGGAAATATCCAATAGTTTTACATGAAATCTCCACGATGCAGTCACAGAACTGCGGTAGAAAGATTAGACTGATGGGCCTGGGATAGTTGTAGGGCAGATAAAATTTATTCCAGACAACATAACTTGTTCCCAAGCATTTAGGTGTAATCTCATCATTGAAATGGTCCTCTCCACTAGTATTTAGCTTTCCTAGTGAAATTCTAGGCTACTTTAGACTCGGGATTTACAAGTGAAGTGACAGACTGAACGCAAACGCTGCATAAAATGGTCGGCCTTCTTCCCCGAAGTGCTGATGTGTTATACAGTCACACAGTTATACAGGTATAACATATTGCTAAATGAACTGAAATGTCATTACATTACTAGATACTTCATCGTCTAAAAGTCTCCTTAAGGAAAGTATTGAAACAAGAACTCATGAGACAAAAGCTTAGGCGGATCTGTCTTAGTTTGACATTTGCTGAAATCACATCACATCGGTAATAAACAGCTTATTTTACTTGACAAGTGTGTCAGATGGACTTCTCATTCGAAATGTGCAGACATGTTTGTTCAAAGTTCTGCCCAACTTAGTAGCTTCCCAAAGGTGGTTTTCACATAAGAAATTCAAATAAAGCTGTAATAAAAAATAAAAAATAAAAAAAATAGTTATTCCAAGCGACCACAACTTTCAGTGCGACTCTGCAAATTTCTTATATGTTGCGTTCCCCATGAACTTCAGAACTCTAAGTGCATTAACCTTAACTGAAACTTTTTCCGATTGTGCATGAGATGGGCTAGCTTCATTAGCACTCCTTCCAGTGGCATCTGGTATCATACTGCTCTCAATGTACAGCGGAACTTAATTGGAGCACACATCCAGAGTGATTTCATGCTCTCTATCCTGAGATATATGACATCTCGGGAAACACATTGATAGCGGGAATGTTTAGGGAAAAGGATTTCTAAAAATTTTAGGAAATACTTTTCCCAGAAATCCACTGATACAAACTAACCTCGGGTAAGCTTTTTATGTAGATATACGAGCGGAGTTGGCGAATCCACATAGATACCATCATCCTGTTTAACCGCGTTCTGTTGTGTAGTTCACTCATGAGAAAGCAGTCAGTGATGCCTTAGCCAAGAATAACGCTCACGACCGTTGTGTGGCCACACATTCGATTGGATACGCACTTTTTCCACACCGCAAACTGTCTTTTAGCCAGGGCCACCTGTCCTAATAGCCAGGTTGCAGAAAACATCACCACAACCAGTCAAAGGCGAATATGATGCCCACAACTGCTCAAGGATGTACTTACAACAAGTGGTTTGAGGAGAATAATAATATATTCCCTTTTTTGTACATGAGAGGCGCCAGTTTGCAGTCGTCATCAATATGATAAGCCACATGTACGATTAGTAAGCATATTTATTAATAATGCTATAATAAGATACATATTAATTCCTACCTTTTTAAGACACATCAGTTGTACAGGCATGGTTAAATATTATTTAAATTACATAAATTCCCTTTATGGTGAAATTACATGGTTGCCGTCATTTTTGTCTTTAGTTTGTGGGAACAACCTGCAAACCAGTGATTCAATGGAGCACATCAATAAATACAGAAATAGTGTTGTCAGTCAACTCTCAGAAACTGTCAATGTCCAGCTCTTACTACACTGGACCTCACGCTGTCCCTCGAAGACTTTCAGAAACAATTTGTAATAGCCAACGCGAAAAACCAGAACACTGATTGGTGACTCAAGAATCCTTTATTCTTATGCCAATATGTAACCAACAATAAGGTTATTACACAATGTCTAAGAATAAATGTTATAAGAATAAATCA